TAGTCTGGAAACTGTATTTTCCTGATACAGTGAAATTGATCTTTACTGACAAACCAATCTTAAGACCTACTATTATATATATCTTTACTTTATGACACAAAATAATCTGGTTTAACCGAAACCATAAGATATTGGACTGAAAACCAGTTTTTCTTGATGTCTTTCAAGTCTTGTTTAACCAAATCTGCAAAACAATTTTTTTCTACTTCCCCCATAACTTGCAGTAAGCCTGAAGGGGCCTCTAAGACCTATAGGATTAGAAGTTGGGAATCAGCAGAGCTTCTTGCAAGAAAAAAGATTAACAAAATGAATAAGAGGTCTTTCCGTGGAATAAAATGGGCTTATTGCAGCTCATGAAATAATGATGATCTGGCATTTGCCCAACATTTCAGGAATAACGAGGGTCAATACCTATACATGTATAGAAAAGAATTTCAGACATTTCAAAACATTGCATGAATTTATAAAATTATAAACATAAGATATCTTCTAGTTTGAAGATTGGTTGAACATATATATAGTCTACAAAGAATTCAATAGATAGAGAACACACAAGTCACAAACCTGCATGATCTAGCCATGTACGTATACCGTTAGACTGTGTGTCACCAGTTTCACTAAACTTTCTCAAAATCTATACGTACCTCTCTCTCTGATCTAACATTAATGCTAGTCTATCTTTTTATGTAGGTTCCGGTCTACATACTAACACAAATACATACTGAGTTGGAATACATAAAACAAACCTTTCTCACCTAATAAACACAAATGGATCATTCTTGATCCTAGATAAGTGTTTAATGTGGTAAAGACACTATCACAACGGCAACCTAATACAGATTGAAACCACATTTCATTACCTGTTAGTAATCATTATAAATGACAGCTAACAGAAGACTAGATTTATGATCATTAATTAATTGATTTAATTAGGTCATAAATACATTTTAACATGCACCAAAAAATCAAAAAAATTCTTTGGCACATGAATGTTGTTTTTGAAGTCTTATACAGTCTGTATCAGATACATACAGGTATAATATTATAAAGGAGGGATCTAGAAGGTTCCCTGCATTATAAATCGATTAATCTCACAATATTTCTCAAACTGTGACATGCATCGAGATATTCTAAGGAGATCCATACTCAGGAAACTTACATAAAAAGTGTTTTTTTTTAAACTTAATTTGCATTCAATTTATTTAATGACAACATATTTAAAAAGTACAAAAGAATTAATCTCAAAATATACCTAATTTTCCAAGGGAGATAACACTAGGGAATAGTTTTAGGGAAGTTTCCTCGCAAAGGGGGTANTATGACATAAATAATTGCAAGGAGCAATCTCCAAAATGCTATAAATAAAAAAAGTCCTCATAAAAATAATTTTATTATGTAAATAAACATAATTCGATCAAAAAGAATGTAAGTAAATCTTGCTTCTACAAAATGCCTACATGGACATCTCATAGTAAATCCTGGGGTTTTAAAACTATGCACTTTTAAATCTTTTCAGGTTGTATTTTATGGGTAATATACATTATTTTGAAGGCAGATCCACTTCAATGCAGTGCTTGACAGAAGATTTTTAATCATCATTTCTTAAAATACATTACATGACTGGAGATATTTATATACCTAGGTATTGCTTTTTCAAAATACAGTGCCTGAATGAAGATTTGTATTCCCAAATTAGTCTATCAACAAAATAACATGAACAGATCAATCTGTCAAACTTATTTGATTTTCTGTACTTTTTGGTGTCACTGACAAAATACATCTGCTGACTAAATCCTATTATATATTCGGTCTGCTATGCTGACAGAAGAGGTTATCCCTAACAATGCTATACAAATTGAATCTGCAATGGAAGACATGATGTCTTTACAGTCCAATTTTAGTGATGCTCTGCATAACATGTTGTACATTTCTCCACATGTACAAATGGCATTCAGTTGTAGCAGAACAAACTATGGCCCGTTATGAGTCATAACCAGCAGAGGATTAGCACTGGGCTGTCATGGTACCGTCGGTGCAAAAGTTATATTGTGACATTTCTGACTCAAAGCTCTCAACTTCTGACAAAATGAGAATCGCTGCACAAATGGTAGGGTGTATTAGATCTGTAGCTGTTTATGTTTGGGAAGGACAATATGGTCAGTCAGGTGTAAAACATATCATTTTATTACACTAATTACTTATTTCTAATTTATTGTTTATTATAAATTTCCTGATGTAAATTTACACCAAAATGTTTCAATGGACGTTTTTTATTACACTAATTACTACTTTATTGTGTAAATAAACTACCTGATGTGAAGGTACACCAAACTGTTTCAAAGAGTTATTACTTTATTACACTAATTACTGTTTTATTGTGTAAATAAACTACCTGATGTGAAGGTACACCAAACAGTTTCAAAGAGTTATTACTTTATTACACTAATTACTGTTTTATCGTGTAAATAAACTACCTGATGACAATAAAGATGAGAAGGTACATCTACTTATTTCAATGAGACAAAACAGTGTCACCGAAGTCATGTGAAATTGTACACTTTAGCAATAAGATCGCTCAGCCATGGAAACAACACTCCGAGGTCGACATATATGTGTATACAGATTATGTAAACTTCTGTGAGAGTTAATCATCGCTAATTCTCTCAACAACTGGCCAATCACTTACTCACATCAACACTGATTACAATTTTACACAAATTAATTCTTATCTAAACACTCCCACTCTACAGATACAATCACCCACAGTCAGTGTTGTGAATAAACACTATTTGTACATGCAGTATTTACTTGAACAGAGATTTATGGCACACATGATCAAAAGGGCATGTCTGTTTACTATTTACACAACAAGAAGAAGTAGGATACAATCAGAAGGACATTTCCTAGTCAAAGAATATGTATTGTATGTGATCCACAAACATTTATATAACAAAAAATCCATAAAAAAAATAAACAAAACTTGTCATTAAAATCAACATGATGAGACTGCTGGTAGCTAACATGTAACAGTTGATCATTGATGTAATTGCTACAGAGACGAACAGAGCACACGTCAGTACCACAGCCTCTGTACGTCCACATGGAACATATGTGAACCACATGATTGATTTAGTGTCTACCAGTCAATTCATAGTTTGATCGGAGAAGAAAAGAATTAAAGCAAATATTAGCAGATGGTGAAGATTTTTTTCCCCTATAATTAATAAGTTGTATTTTGTAAACAGAAGATAAAACCTCAATTGCCCTTTGATTGAAATGGACCAATCCAGATGACAGATTGGGTGGTTTCATTCTATGCACAAGATCTCGGTACGAGAAACATATGTTTTTGACGAAAATTGAAACTATTAATATGTTCCCCACAGGACAAAACTATTAATATGTTCCCCACAGGACAATTGAAACTATTAAAATGTTCCCCACAGGACAAAACTATTAATATGTTCCCCACAGGACAAAACTATTAATATGTTCCCCACAAGACAATTAAAACTATTAATATGTTCCCCACAGGACAAAACTATTAATATGTTCCCCACAGGACAATTAAAACTATTAATATGTTTCCCACAGGACAAAACTATGTAAAATCATGTATGGAACAAATATAAATAACCTTATAAAAATATTTTCGCAATTGCACTTATTTCTAGCACAACAAAAATGAAATATTGAAAAAAATAGCACAAAATCAAAACAAAATATATGGCACATGTACAGAATCCAGATTTCTTGCTTCGTCCTTAATTTCATCTCAAGATATCCATAATTAAAACAAAGTGTTCTACTTGTCACTGTACACACTTTAATTGAAATACAAATGCAATGATTACCAGTATGTTCAACTAAAATCTCTTTACCGCATCGTCAAGAGAATAATCCCATTCAAAAAAATAACAATCACACACTGCACCTTGACTTAAAATTACAGTGTGATAATGTACAATGTTGTTTTTGCCTGTAATTATTCTGACATATCTCTCAATATCAGCTGTTGATTTGTACACTTCTTCTTTACTGGTCGACATGTTGTATAATATAAATACCACATGTACAACAACAACAAAAAAAACAATATTAAAATGTCATGAAATTGACTGCCCGTCTAAGACATTATGAAATTGACTGCCTATGACGTGATGAAATTGACATCCTGTTGAATTGAGGGTGTAACAGAGAAAGGCCCAACCCTCAGAGTGACTATTTGGTTGTATAACCCTCGGCAGAGCATGAAATTGAACAACCAAAAAGTCAGCCCTCGGGTTGGAGATTGATTTCTCTGTCGTATCATACCATCCTATCCTTACTACTTCACCGATGGTAGTCTAGCTTGTTTGTAAACAAAAGCACATGTGGTGAATGAATATTGCCATTTAATTTTTAGAATGTCACAATCGCTATTTACTTTTAATGACATCACAATTGAGTGTGTGCTATTCTTCATGAGGCGAGCTCCCCCTAGCTAAATAGAGAGGTGTACACCCCTGTGAAGGATTGGAGAATAACGAATCCTATTCCACAATAACTTATCGATCAGTACTTTAAGATAATGTAAATCTACAAATGTTAATTCAGACATCAAGGTTATCACTATACAAACATGGATAAATTAAGACTTTGTGAGGATGATTATGCAAATATTGATTACTCAGACATAAAAATGAATTTTGTATCACAGACTAAAACAGTTAACATCATCAGTATATCAGACAATGGTCACACATACATCCCTACACACTTGTATGACAACACATACATCCATACACACTTGTATGACAACACATACATCCCCACACGCTTGTATGACCACACATACACCCACACACACTTGTATGATGACACATACATCCCCACATACTTGTATGACAACGCATACATCCTTACACCCTTGTATGACAACACATACATCCCTAGACACTTGTATGACAACACATACAGCCCTACACATTTGTATGACAACACATACATCCCAACACACTTGTATGACCACACATACAACCCCACACACTTGTATGATGACACATACATCCCCACATACTTGTATGACAACACATACATCCCCACACACTTGTATGAACACACATACATCCCCACACACTTGTATGACAACACATACATCCCCACACACTTGTATGACCACACATACACCCCCACACACTTGTATGATGACACATACATCCCCACATACTTGTATGACAACACATACATCCCCACACCCTTGTATGACAACACATACATCCCTACATACTTGTATGACAACCCATACACCCCCACACACTTGTATGACAACACATAAATCTCTACACACTTGTATGACAACACATACATCCCTACATACTTGTATGACAACACATACACCCCCACACACTTGTATGACAACACATACATCTCTACACACTTGTATGACAACACATACATCCCCACACACTGGTATGACAACACATACATCCCCACACACTTGTATGAACACACATACATCCCCACACACTTGTATGACAACACATACATCTCTACATACTTGTATGACAACACATACATCCCTACACACTTGTCTGACAACACATATATCTCTACATAATTGTATGACAACACATGACAAAGCTGGAGGTTAAACAGTATATCATATCCTTTACCAACGTGTTGTTTTAACTAACTTTAAACTATTGCTACATTTAATAAAACAATGGTTCCACATTGTTATAAATCTGGGACTATCTGGCAATCATTTCCTTTTAAATAAGATCTCACATGCATACTGAATACAAATGAAAGCACCAAACTGTCTATATTATAATGATCCTATACTGAGCGGTTTCCTTTTTATTAAGTACGGCATATTGCCCCTTCACACATAAAATCTATGTAGACTGAGCTAATACAGTCATATTCACCATGAATTAAATACTTTTAACATCATTGTGATCCTAGCTCTGAATCAGTGTGACCAAATTTATTCATGATGAAATCAAAGTTGAGTTTTAACTTGTCATAGTACTTGTTGACAGAGTCGTCCTGCTGAAACTCTGTACATCTCATTCCGTAGTTAGACACACACTTCCTGTAATGGTGAAGGTACGCTATATCGTTCTCCACTTTCTTGATCACATATCTTTCTTTGGCAGGTTTACTGACATGATGAATTCCAACCTCGAACACTTTGTCTGGTTTTAACATGACCTTGGTTCGTATTCTGCTGAACAGTTTTGACCGTCCTGTATTGCCAATTGTAATCAAACCAGAAGGATGATTCTTACCTGCATGGGGGTCATAAAAAGCACTGTTAAAACTAAGGCCTACAACGTTATTGGTCATAATAGGCATCAAAGATGAATTCCAGGTAGGATAATTGTCATGAGGAATAATGTACTCATCAATGTCATTAATAGCGACCACATTCATTAAACTCATTGATCGATATAAACAGTCGTTATGAGCCAGCAGCTGACCATGGTACCAGATGTCACGTTCTTCAATATGGCTAGGTAGTTTCCAGGGTATAACGGTAACTGTCCTTTCTTTGGCATAATAATCTAATACCTCTTTGGTACCATTACTAGTAATATTGAAATCATAAAACACAAAATGTTGTGAGCCTAACAGCTTTGTCAGTTCTATAAACTCCACAATGCTTGACTTTTTAACATCTCCAAACAGTGGAGGAATACATACTCCAAACTTAAAGGGAGCCGACTCGGGCTCTATCTTCATAATGTTGAGTGTAATATATTTGCGTGTGAGCTTCTCAAATTTTTCTCCCAATTCACTGTCAACATAGGTAATGGCCACCTGGCATGGTTGTCTGACAATGTTTGGGAGGGAACAAGAGAGAATATATCCACCAAACCTTCTATTATGATTTTCACACATTTCATATATCGTAGCGTTCATTACAAATTCTTTAGCACCAACACGAAAAAGACATTTGACATCTATCTTACTTTTCTTACCCCTTACAATAAGCGCTATTACCCTGACAACCGGAGCCTCATCTCGTTTATCTAGGTAGGCCGAATAAACATAGAATACTTTAGGCTTCACAGGAACATAGGTGAACTGTTTTGAATCTGAATTTAGCAAACATGATGAACGCCAATCGTTCAGCGCCACCTGTTGGGTGGCATTGACAACTTTGTCATTGACAGCACGTTTAATGTGGCGTAACTGCCGGACTCCATGTTGTTCTGGGTTTGACTGACTTGCAGCCTTACCAACCACGTTCATCAGACTGTGACTGTTAAGTTTATGGCGACTGGTGAATTGTGTCTTGGTGATGTCTAGCTGTAGACGTCCATGGAAGACAAACACCATCACTAGGTATAGTCCACAAAGACACATAAAATACAACCGGTAAGGCAGACGCCGTGCCATCTTGTTTGATCCAAGCAGATTCCAGGCACCAAACTGAAAAATAAAATATTCACAATGTAAAAAACCAAATGATATACCAATACAGAAGGCATGTTTACAAAGTAAAGATCTCCGACATTCAACTCCTTACCTATACTAGGATTGAATGACAAAACAAAGAGCACTTTCATTGGAATTCCATCTCTTAATCTTATATTTCTGACTTCTACAATCCTTCATATTTCATTTTTTGACACACATCAATTACCCATCCATTTTTAACAGTCCATCACTCAATCTCTCTTCCAATCATTCATGACACAAACAGAAATACAGTACCATCAACCTTGTTACTATAGTGACACCATAGCTCCTATTGGTCAGCAACGAATCCACCACAGCCTTCAACAACATTTACACCGTAAAATTAAAAGCTCAGCTGTCGTGGCGAAAAGGCAAAAAACAATACAAAAATTGATTGTCAACTTTTTTGTAACATTAGCTCTGTGCGTCTCAGAAATGTCACGATTTTATGTGATACACCACGAAGAACACAGCAGATCAGTAGGGTCGTGACTGGACCATTACAATCTGATGAACTTGTTTTGGTCAAACAATCACCTGACAAATTGCTGTTTCATCATGCAGAAATATCCATTCAATCATTAAGGTTTCTGGACACTATTATTATTCACTGAGAAATAACCAACTGCAATGCATGCATCTATTATTTGCTATAGTCGTTTTATTTATATAACTAAGGATATTGTTAAATCATTTATATAAAGTACTCATGCCTAGGACAACTATTTAACTATCCACCGTCCGAGGACATCAATACCCATGAAGAGGTGTAACTGAGCTCAAACAATTCTTCAGTGAATTGACAGTGACCTTTACCTGAACATGAGTTCAGTCACATGGTTGAATCATAAGGAAAGGTTGCCAGTTGTGAGAAAGATGATAATTACCACAATAAATCATAACACAGAAAACAACGAGAGGAAAGCTCCTTTAGAACTCTGAAACACACTTTCAGCTAAGGGTGTATGATACCTTATTGAAATTTTTACGCTATATTGAAACCTATCAAATCTCTTACAGAGATGGTTGGACATGGTTCATTATATACAAAAATTCATGCCATAATAATGCTCCAGTAATCTTGAATTGTTAGTACTGCAAAGGGAGATAACTCAGACAAAAATCACAGCTTCATGTGTTAGGTTGTAGATTTATACTGCTTATATATATCCGTCAGTTTAGAACAACATGAAGGTAAAAAACACAAAAAGGTGATAAAACAGCCCTCCTACAGTACTGTCTTTATAGAAGATCTAATGTCACAGCAAATTAGGGCAAGTATCACTTAAAATTATCGTCGGTATTTCAATACATCAAAGATAACGTGACGGAATTGTAATTCACAGTTCTTTATAAATAAGAGATACATTTACATAAATAATTAAATTGATACAAAAGTATTTTACACGGGGATTTGCATTCAGAAAGAATGAAAGGAAGAAACCAGTAGCGCTGGCTAGGGTGATATATCAATGTAGACAGATGATCAGGCTACTGTGGTTTGTGCTTCATCACATTTAAGTTTAATAAACAGATGAACAATTAATTTCAGCCCCACAATGAACTGACCCATTCAGGCATATCTTGTAAAAGAATTCCTGCCACTTTTTCTCTCGTGGCGTGTTAACCTGGTTTTTGTTGTCTCAGAAAGCAACACATCTATAATACAAAAGGAGCAAGTTTATTGGTGACAGATGAGTAAGCATGTCGATAACAGATGCATGCTTCAACAATGACTAACGCTGCTTTATGATGACTAACACAAAATGTTCTAATTTTCTTTTTCATAAAAACCTATCTGAATTTTTCACCCTTGAAGCAGAATATGGGATATCAGATCTGTAAATCCCACCTTCAGAATGTCTTTCAAAATAATGCTGCCTCGTCCAAAAGTCTTCAGTTTTTCAATTCAAAAAAATCTAAACTTAGCATAAAGTCTGAAAGTCAGATACAGCAATGCTCATTTCTGTGTGAATCTGCTATAGACGCTGAAATGGTTATCGTAATTATAGATTGATGAGTAAGCATAATAGAACAGGTCGAGGTAGTGTAAGGTAGTCTTAATTAAGTCCCCTATCTGTTAAGGTCTCTTTTATTAACCAAAATGCATACACAAGTTATTTAAAGTTTAACGTGTAGTTTAGAAAGAATATGCCAAGTCACCTGTATTTTGGCAGGTCAACCTGCTCATGACATCCATGACATGCACATGCAGAGTATGTAGTATATTTTGGTGTCTCCTGCATTTGCAATACTAAGCTAAAAATTGTAAATTTTCAAAATCACTCTTTTGAAGTTGGGATTTTACAAAGAGTAATACTAAGACTATGATATATCAACATTTTGATTATTAATTATGATAGTTTAAATCCCATTACAATTGATTTGGATGATTTTAATGTTTACATAGTGATAGGAGCTGAAATCAGCAGGAGTGTCCTTCATGTTGCCCATCTATGATCCTCACTCCATTTATAGAAGATATATGCGCTGAAAACAGTTTTGGGACAGAGAATTTTAGTCCCCTCCGGTAGAAAACGGAGGACTAGTAGTAATACATCATAAAAAAGTGGAGTTAAAAGTCTATATTTTTCGCTGACAAACACAGTAACACAATGTCAACGTCTGATCATCAATATGAGGAGATAGTTTATGCATGTTAGAGTCGTCCATCAACACACGTTACGCGTGACTGACCTGGCCGCAGTACAGTGACCACAGACATGATGTGTGCAGCAAATGTATAACAGTACACAGGTAACCACACGATGAAGGATGCCTGGATCTCAGTGAGACAGAACACCTGTGATTAAACAGTAAACCTCACCACTGAGATCCAGAACACCGGTGATTTAACAGTAAACCTCACCACTGAGATCCAGAACATTGGTGATTTAACAGTAAACCTCAGCACCTATTAATCTTATCTGGACTCATGCAGAGAAGATTTCTCTTGTAACAAATCAATTCAAATTAGGTCCAAACAAGTGGGTTAGATCTGGGAATGACCCAAACAAGTGGGTTAGATCTAGGAATGACCCAAACAAGTGGGTTCAGTTAGATCTGGGAATGACCCAAACAAGTGGGTTAGATCTGGGAATGACCCAAACAAGTGGGTTAGATCTGGGAATGACCCAAACAAGTGGGTTAGATCTGGGAATGACCCAAACAAGTGGGTTAGATCTATCACCAGCTCAATCACTTGTTAACATGGAAATGTTAAAAATATTGTTGATGATAAGAGTTATGTCTTTTTTCTTCATTAATGAAAACCCTAATGTTTATTATTGATCATGTTTTGGGTAAAACTAGAACAACACTGGTGTTACTAAAGGAATAGAATTATCACAGGTTCATCCAAAAATACAACTCAAAACATTTAAAAACAATGTGATTATGATTAAGTAAATGATTCCCACGTAGCACCATCTCACTACGATGACCCTCAATACTGTAATTCTACAACTCTTTTTGTCATACAAACCTTGTACGGAGCAATATCATTTAAGTCCTTATACCAATAACCGACCGGTATGGTCCACACCAGATCTCGTACTCCACGCGCCACACACTATTATGTGACAAGCGTTATGCTTGCTTTGTGGACACCAATGCTGGCCGTCTGCCTCTTGCGATGTACCGGCACCCCTTACACGGAGACATCTGTGTAAGACCACACAATCAATACCCAGCCTCCTTGCTCTGCGTGATTCCTGGAGCATCCCGCCCTCCCAGAAAGGCCCGTCATCGTAAACATCTGATCAATGATACTGTACCGCTAACAACCTAGTCAACCCTATGTCACTGACTTACACTTTTAATGCCAAACACACATAAAATTTCTTTCACAAAAGGTCATTTGAAAATCACTTCTTTGACAAAATAAAAAAAACAAAAACAGTTTGACATACGGACAACAGACTGTCTACATTAGAAACACTTCGGGCAGCAGCATCAAACCATGAACACATCTGACAAAACAGTTCAAAATCATTTCAAACCTGTCAAATTCTTTCAAGTGAATATTTTATTTTTCCTGAACATGAAGGAAAAATGAGGATTTTTTTATAACTGTGATGGGAATTATCCCAAGTCCAATAGAAAAATAACACTTAGACTGAAAACACATCCATAACATTTTTACCAGCAGCACTACAAATTCTTTTACAGAAAATGGTGAAAAAGAATTATTTTCTATTTGAAAAAACATTAACCTTTTAAAATAGATTTCTCCAAGAAAAACAATTCGCCTATTTCAAATGTATATCTGTGATTTTGATGATATTTTGTATCAAAATCACAAAAGGCCTGAAATTTAGACTTATGACTTATAAACGAAACATTAGGACATGTATGTTTTGTAATTAATTAAGCTAAAATTATATAAGGACATGTATATCCTTTTTAAGTGTTTTGTAATTAATTAAGCTAACATTAAGACATGTTTATCCTTTTTAAGTATTTTGTAATTAATAAAGCTAAAGGATTATGTATATTATCTTAACAAAATGTTTGATAGACCTGGCCGGCTGAACATGCGGTTGTCAAGCTGTATACTAGGAAAATTCATGCATGCAGAGGCAAACAAATTAAGGGTATTATAATGGAGTATGATTGTTTTCATCCTCTGTACATTGTCCATGATTTGTGTAAAATATGTTTTGTACACTGATGGGCCATGGCCCAAAGTTTGAATAAAACTTGAAACTTGAAGCTGGAAGTTTTGATACTTCCTTATGATTACAGAGGATTGTGAATCTACTCAGGTATGTTTACCCAGGTAGCTTAAATATCTAGTTGTTCTACATCATAGATAAAACTATGGTTAAAACTCAGTAACTATCCTACCTATGTTAATCCCCCCTCCCCTCCCCCATCCTTCAAACTAAATTTCAACAAGAAAAACCTCTGCAAAACTACACAAGTTTTTGCAGTATAAAAGTGTAAATCGTTTCCTCTAATATCGGTTT